CAACCTGTGTGCCTTTTTTGCATACGTTATTTCTCGAGAACGAAAAGCAACCTAGCGAAAAAAACTTCAGAGCAATGTTTCTCAGGTGAAACGAAGCCCACATGCCAAAACTCAGCTAGTTTTAAGCACTTTCAAAAATGGCCGAAAAATCTAGGGGACGTTCTTGCACGCGGCCTTTCATTTATAATTCATCAAGTTTAAACAAAGGATATCATAGCCTTGAGGGTGTTTGAATATCTGATCTTTGTAAGTATGCATTCTTCCAATTTTAATTTTCTGTTTCCTCCTTAGTTTTAATTTTGATCGATAAGACATGAATCATTTGAGACTGTTTTGCCACTTTTACAAACACTTCGAAGTTCATCAACACTACTCCACTGTTTATTGTACTATCAACTCTCTTCTAAGTGTTTGGAATTAATTTTGTTTATTAAACTTGTTTGATTTTCACGTATTACTTGAAATAAGTGCATGTAATTATAAATGTAGGAAAGGAGAGTTTATATCAATTATGGAATCTGTACCTTGAACTTTCCTCTGAATCCCAAGAGAGAGAAGTGCGGGCAAGCTTAATTAAAGTCGCTATGACATTAATGTGACTCTGTCTGTCACTTTGTGCCATTCATGAAGCTTCTGTTAATTCTTCTTCTCTGTTTTCAGGTTGGCTAGTTAAGATTCAACTCAGTGAGCCAGACAAGCTGCCAGATGACCTCTTGTCTGAAGAGGAATACCATCAGTTACCTGAACTCGTGGAAGACGATCACTGAATTTAAACACAAATAACAATATTATTATACTAGTCCAATGACTTAAATAGTTTAAACAATTTTTTTATTATTAGTCTAACTGTGTATAACCTTATGAAAAGTTTGGTGGGAGTTACAACACCGGTGTGCAAAATGAATTTTATGATGCATTGCATGTGTGAACACTTTGTGATGTCACTTGAAACATTACATGTATACATTTTACACAATCCAGTACCACACTGCCATACATGTGCGTTAGTCTAATTATAGTGAGGAATCAACAAGATTAACTCTATATTTATTTATAATGTGCAGCTCCAGAAAATATCCGTACTCCCCTCACAGAAGGGATTGGAATTTCCTAGGGTGGGGGGATGGTTCTGTGTGATAAAGTTCTAAATGTATGAAGCTGAATTGGAAGTTCCAGAGGAGTGTAGGGGTCTTAGGAAAATCCCTTCCGTGGGGGAGGTATGGATATATTTTGATACTACACATTATTTGCATATGGGAAAAATACATAATTTTGTTATACAATGGAAAAAGGGGAATTCTATTGGGGAAGTTTTATACATGTAGTAGCTTTTTTAAATGTTAAGTTTTTTCCTTTTTCTTGTCAATGAATCTTGACGTATCCATTCATAGCTCTAGTAGTCATCTTATTGTCTGAGGGAGACTGAGGTTGGGAGATTGATGTCTCAAGAACAATGTACACAAGACACAAAACTGTGGGCACATAGTGTTACCACCTTCAACTGAACAAAACGTTGTGACTAAAAATCTACATCACTGAATGAGTACCTCAGTCAGTTGTTGGAATGCCTTGTTGTAGTTGTTCACTGCATGGTTGCTGTTTGGCCGTTAGTGATTCATGTTAAAGGAAGAAGTGTTGTTGTTATTATTTCTCTGAAGAGTGAAAAATGACATAATTTTTTGTTAGTGAATTTATCGTACATGGATCTGAAATCAATCCCAAATTTAATAGCATTGGCGACTTTATTCTTGTGAGTTTAAGAGTAGTAATAATCCATTGCTCCTTACAATACAATAATCTGCAGTAAAACAATTATTTTACATTTGTTATTGTTATGCAACAGTCTTCCTTTGTTGATGATTTGATTCCATCTATGAGTTCTGTTTCAAAAGATGTTCATTGTTCTTTTGGTATTCAGTGATAGAAAAAAACTGTTGGCATCTGTTGATGGTTAATAAAGGCAATATTTTCAAGTCTATTATTTCAGGGTTTGTAAAAAATATATTTCAGAAAATAAAAAATTATCATTCTCTGGATATCATGTTTTATTATCCAACTGTATCGAATACCGTCAAAATAACAGTACAAAGAAAAAGCTATATTGTACAGTTATTTGTACAGAAGAAAACCCCTTTGCTGGACAGGTCGGCACGCGCACTAAACTGTCACACTCTCCCTCTTTCACTGATAAATTTATTGACTACTGACAGCAGTTGGATAATAAATCTCTTATTAGATGTTTTGGTGTGTAGTTTTGCTTTATATTATTACTCGTCGTTTGTGTTTTATAATTACTGCACAACTCATAAAAATATATGGCGATACTACACACCAAAACATCTAATAAGATATATGTCCAATTCAGTCTGTAATCATACTCAGGATTAACAAATCGAACTCCTGCTTCGCAATCATCTGATTTTGTTAATTATTATATGCTTACAGACTGAATTGGACTCCACTCCGTCCTTAATTACCATTATTAATAACTGGATTAATAATTAATCCAATTATGGTAATTAAGGACTGAGTAGAGTCCAATTCAGTCTTTAAGTATAGAGTGATTAACAAAATCAGACGACTGCAAAGCAGGAGTCCAATTTGTTAATCCTGGGTATGATTACAGGCTGAATTCGA